AGATATGAGCTATTAAGTCTAGCCAGCACATCCATTGTGAAGCGTTGTGCTGAGTACCTCAATTAAAAGGTTAGGTCTGCCACCTGCTGCCAACAGCTTCTTCCAGGTCCCACCCCACCCCCACTCCGCCCCCAGAATGCTATCCTCCAAAACCCTCTCCTCCACCCTAGAGAGTCCCCAGTGCTTCCCTTTCCTGTTTGAATTCATTTGGAGTTTATTTAGTTTTCCTCTGAGACTGGGGACATGCGTCTCTCCAGTATCCTTAGCTGTGTTTTCCTGTTTCCTTCCAGCGCTCTGCCGGCCTCTTCATTACAGGGGATTTTGGCTAATTACTTTAGAGAAATAGAATGGGGTTCATGAAATAACAAATAGGAGTGATGTAATTAAGTTTCCAGCTGGTTTCTGAGTTGGTTGAGTCATTATGGATTTCCTTATTGGTTTTCTCCTGCTGTGCTGTAGGGGGGATGGGGTCAGAGCTGGAGGGAAGGGCCATACTCCCCAGAGAGGGGGCTTCACCCCAAGTGTTCTGGGAGATGGCACTGGAGTGGTGCCAGGCTAGTAAGATAAACCACAGCAGCAAAGTCGGGGTTGGTTGGGTTTGTGTGAAATTGATTCCAAAGCCCTGGTGATGTATTCAGAAACTTTTTGTCGTTGATGTTAGTCGTGGTGGTGGGTTTTTTTTCTTTTCATTTAAAGATTATATTTGTTTTATGTGGGGTGTATGTGAAAGGGTGATGTGCCCTGTGGGGGTCAGAGGACAACCCATGGTAGATTCTTCTTACCACTTGATATTTCACTGACCACGTTCAGAGGTTTGAAAACAAGAAGCCAGATTGTTGCTGTTTGACACAGGATCTCACTCTGTAGTCTTGATTGGCCTGTAGACCAGTCTGGTCCTTAGTTTAGAGATCCTCTAGCCTCTGCCTCCTGAGTACTGGGATTAAAGGAGTGTGCCATCACTCTGGGGCGGAGTGAGATCTTCAAGGTGCTATTAATTTACACCCACCACTACATCAGCTTTTATCCTTAACTATATTCTCTTTGTGTTGATCCCTCTTTTTCTGATTTCCCACTTCACAGCCTCCTAGGGGACTGGTCAGGATAGACAATTAAATAACTCCTTTCCTTAGTGCCTGGTCTCCTATTCCCTTCCCTTGGAGTCTTCATGGCAGAAAGACCTCACAGTTTTTGGGAAAGGATCTAATGTAGAATGTAGGCTGTTCGACCACCATTTACGTCATTGGGGTTGATCTTGAACTACGGACCCTCCTGCCTTCCAAATGCTGGGTTTATAGGCATGTACCACAGCACCCAGGGCTTTGTGTATTACTATCTATGAGCATACAAATGCTTACTGTATACAAATACTCTTAATCAGCTGAGCCTCAAGACACCATAGACAGGATACCACTGTATGATTTACTCATGGGAATTTTGGCAATTCCCAGAAAAGTCTCTCTATTGGGCAATTTCTCTTGATTGTTATGTTGACTTTCTGACCATGTTCTGAGCAGCTACTGTTGTGCTGGGTTGTGTAGGAGAGACCCTGTGTTCTAAGTGGCCTGGGATCTCACAGTGTTACTGTAACTTCTGTCATCACAGGAATGTTTTTGGTTTGCTTCTCAGCTTTAGTGAGGTGATACACTCTGACTCACACATGTAGAGTGGGTTGATGAATTGCTACAATTCTTCACAGCCTGTAACAATATCACAGTCCAGATCTAGAACAGTTAGTTCTGATACACTGACAAATGGCCTCCTGCCTTTTGTGGTCAATTTCTGTCCCTATTGCTATCCCATTAGCCTCATCTGCTTCTGAAATCAACTTTGGGATCATGCAGCCGGTAACTCTTTGACTTGCAGAAGAGGCATGGATTTTATTTTGCTCGTCTTGCTGCTTTGCCGCCATCAGGAGCCATTTGCTGGTATAAGTAAGGCACCAGCATGTCCTGGCCTTTTGAGCCAGGGTTTCCTATAGCAAACTCACTAACATAGCTAAGATGACCCTGAACTCCTTTTGTTTTGACCTCTGGATTCCTGAGATTACTGTTATGTACCACCTTGTCTAGCTTATACACTGGTGGGGATGACTGGTTTATACACTCCAGGGCTGCATACGTGCAGGGCAACTGAAATACTAATCTAGTGTTGGATTAGAGAGACAGGATCTCATGCGCCTCTAGCTAGTCTTGAACTTGTTCAGGCTCATTTTGGACTCTCGATCCTCCTTATACTTCCAAGTGTCAGGGTTACAAGTTTGTGCGCCCACGCCCACCTTAAGGCACCAAAGTTTCTTGAATAGATGTATTATAAACTTAAAGATATATGAGGTGGCTCATTGTTTTTCAGGGCCTCAAATGACCTATGAAATGTTAAACCTCCTACTGAATTCTGAATGCCTCTCTACGACTCTTAGCCTCCATATTTCTTGGTTTATGTTTTGAGAGAGGTCTCATGGGCTGAGAGTACATATTGCAAGTGGTTCAAAGGTTCAACTAAAAATATTGCCTTTTTTTGTGGTACTCTGGATCAGTACCCAGGCTGCCCCTGGACTTGTGTGATCTTGAGTTAGGGCTGGTCCTTGGGCTCCTTGTCTCCACACAGCTGATTATGCCCTGAGATTCCTGGCTTTATTTCTGCATGTCAGCCAAGTGCAGTTTCTAGCTGTTGTAGTTTTTGGTTTTGTTCCCATTGGGAGTGTTCCCCGTTCTTCTCCTGATTCCCTTGTATGCTTTCCACTGTTTTTTCTGTTTGGTTTTTTAGAAAGGCATTGTATTGTAGCCCAGGCTATCCTAAAACTTTCATAGATAGCCCAGGGTGATTGAAATCTCAAGTACTGGGATAGAGCTGTATATTACCATGGTGATTTAATTTTTCCCCTCTAATTGGACAAAGAATCTACTTATTTTTATCTCATTTGTTTCTCTACTTCCTATCCCCCCTTCAGTGTTTGTTTGTTTGTTTGTTTGTTTGTTTGTTTTTGGAGGCTAAACTAGTCTCAATCTAGCTGTTTACCTGGGGGTAACCTTGATTTCCCTACCTCGACCTCCCAAGTGCTAAGATAATAGTGCCACCACACCCAACGTAAAACCTGAGTCTTACTAGATTGTACTTCTGTAGCCTTGTTTCCAGCCTCCCATAGAGTGAGGAGTCATCTACCCACTACACAAGACATGTAAGCATAGAGTTCAGGTTGGAGCCATTGGTGTTGTATTCAGAATGTTATTTTTTTCCTTTTAGTTGAACGTTTGAACCATTTGTAAAAAATACTCTTAAAAGGATATACTTTAAAGATTTTATGTGTGTCTTAGGGTTTCTATTGCTGTAAAGAGACACCATGACCAAGGCAACCCTTAAAAGGATAACATTTAATTGGAGCTGGATTGCTGATTCTGAAGTTCAGTCCATTATTAGCATGGTGGGAAGCATGGCAGTGTCCAGGCAGGCTTGGCACTGGAGAAGCTGAGTGCTACATCTTGTTCTAAAGGCAAACAGGAGAAGACTAAGTCTTCCGCATTGAATGGAGCTTCAAAACCCACCCCTACAGTGATCCACTTCCTCCAACAAGGCCAGATCTCCTAATAATGCCACTTCCTGTGGACATTCAACAACTTGGTGGTATATTTTTAATTCTCACACTTAGGAGGCAGAATCAGGTAGATTCTGTCTGTAAGTTTGAAGCCATCCTCATCTATCTAGTGTGTTTCAGGGAAACTAAGAATACACAATGGGACCCTTTCTAAAAAGCAAACAAAACAAGAGTATACTTTCAGCCAGGCTTAGTGATGTATTCTTGTAGTCTCCGGTAGATTACAGGAGGATGAGGTTCCCTTTTTAGATTTCCTTTTTTCTTTTGTTTTTGTTTGTTTTGTTTTTTTTGAAACAGGGTTTCTCTATGTACCCCTGGCTGTCCTGGAACTCACTTTGTAGACCAGGCTGGCCTAGAACTCACAGATATCCACTTGCCTCTGCCTCCCAAATCCTGGTATTAAAGGCCACCACTGCCCAGCTAGATAGATATACTTACTTTTATTGTATGAGATCTGTTTACCACTTGCTTACACGGTCCTTGTGGAGGTCCTAAGAAGGCATCAGATTCCCAAGAAATGGAGTTAGAGGTGGCTATGAGCCACCATGTAGGTGCTGGGAATCTGGGAGCTCTGCAAGAACCGCCAGTGCTCTTAACCATTGAGCAATCTCTGGAGACACATTCGGATTCTTAGTTTTGTTCATAATAGAATGTAGACACGGGGAGAAAGTCATGCCTTTTGAGTTAGGGTCTGATAGGTTCAGCAAGCAGCCACATGGCAGAAGCAGACACTGAGAAGGCGCAGAATATCAATGAGAGCATGCCCAGAGTTTGGAAAGAAGAAAGAGAAGATATTACATTTTTCTGGGTAATTCAGAAAAATGCTGACTTCATAAGTGGCTACTCCAGGGTGGGGTTTCTAAGAGGGAAAATACATTAAAGGTACATCATCTTAATAATAATGGGATAATTATTCCACCCATCTTTTTATCATGGCTTGAGGAAATCAGCCTTTCTGAAGTAAGGCCCAACTGGATTGATTAATGTTTTGGGTCTCCACACAGGGCCAGAGGTAGAACTTAGATTCAGTCTTTTCACCTGGGAGCAGTTGAATGGACAGTAATAAATTAGCTCAGATACCTCAACTATTTTTTTTTTGAGAAGTCTTATTGTGTCTTATGGTGTAGCCCTGGCTATGCTGGAACCTGTTATAAACCAGGCTGACTTTGAACTCACAGCTCTACCTGCCTCAGCTTTCTGAATGTTAAAATTAAAATCATAGACTACCATGATTTTTTTATTTTTAAATTATGTGTCTGTGTATGCGAGTATGTGCCCATATGAATAAAGGTGTTCTGGGCAGCCAGAAGACATGGGTGCTAGGGATGGAACTCAGGTCTTCTAAAAGAACAGTATGCACTCAGATGCTGAGCCGTATCTCCTGTATCTATCCTATTTTTGTTTTGCGTAGGTTCTGCCGATCTTGCATTGCGACCAGTATAAAGAACAATAATAAATGGACATGCCCATACTGCCGAGCATACCTTCCTTCAGAGGGAGTGCCTGCAACTGACATAGCCAAGAGGATGAAGTCAGAATACCAGAACTGTACCGAGTGTGGAACTCTGGTGAGTACCACAGCCCATGTTCATGATTACAAGCAAAAATTTCCAGTGAAATTATCATTCTGCCTTCTCCATCTTTCCAGCTCCCCCACTTTGGGGACAGGGTCTCATTCTCCAGTCCAGTGTGGACTTGAACTTGCTGTCTCCTGCCTCTACCTTGGAAGTGTCAGGATTGCATACATGCCCCACTGCATCAGCACCTTTAGTATTTGTGAGTATGCCGCACTGGAGATTGAACCCAGGGCTTCCCACATGCTGAGTGAGTGTTGTACCAGCAAACCAGAGCCCCAGCCCTCATTTTTCTTTTGATTTTGAGACAGAGTCACCAAGTTTGCTGTGCTATTCTGTAGCCCCAGCAGCCTTTCAAAAATCCTCTTTGAAACTTGGAACACTTACTTCTTTCATCTATTTCGTAACACATTCCAGAGCTGGAAAATAACATTTTTAGTGTGTATATCTTAAAAAAAAAAAGAAAACATACAAAAACCGATGTGTGGCTCATTTCTTTAATCTCAGCACATTGGAGGATCCGCTGCATTTTCAAGGCTGACCCAGTCTACAAGGCAAGTTCCAGACTAGCCAGGACTGCATAACAATATACTATCTCAGAACAGTAACAAATACTCCAAACAAAAAATCAGTTCCCAGCAGTCAAAGAACATGGTTGCTCTGACCCCTTGCTTCAGAGCATGCAAACCAACTGGATATCATCTCCCTTACCCCTGGCCCTTAAGGAATTATTTTTGAGGTAGCAGGAAGAGGCTTAGATGGCTCTCAGCTTCCCAGCCTCTAGCCCTGCCCAGTGACTGATTTGATTTGGTTACAGGAACCTCCTATTCCCAGGGTCCTTTTCTCCTGGGAAGTCTTTCCCAGAGAGCTGAATGGACACCCTTCCATTGTCAGCCACTGCCAGGCCTTTAAGGCAAGGAGCATGGCATCTCCTGCAACCTTGTACCCAGCTCTTATCCACTAAGGCCTGGGTATATTTACAAACATGTAAGAATATTGTATCATGGCCACCTGACCAGAATTTGTACATAACCTATGGGGACAAGCATCCTGATATCCAGTACTAATTCTGTCTTCCTGTTTCTGATTTGGGACAAGTTGTTTATTTTTTTAATTATTTATTTTGTGTGTTGGGGGGGTCACATACGGGCAACCTTACCATGGTTGTCTACCCAAAAAACAGCATTCTCTCAAGCCCTGGATGAAGTCCCCCAACAGACTCTCTGGTATCTGATCAGTCACAGGATTTTGATTGTTTGAGGAACTCTGTGGCTGCCTCTTGCTGTCTAGGCTACCCTTCTGTCTTGGACTGCTGCCTGTTCCTGAAACAAGGTGCAGCTTGTCATTTCACTGTCCAGGCCAGCAGCTCTCCTCCGTGCAGCCTGGTCTCAGTATTCTGAGGTCCACTCAGAGGACCTTCTTAGCTACATACCCTCACATCTTTGTTCCTCTGTTGAAGTATCTGCAGCATTAGAATACACAAGAGGCTCGTTGTCTGTCCATCTCTGAACAGTACCTTACATAATGTATGTATGCCTAGATTATAAATTTGTCAATTTGTCAATGTACAATCCCCAGGCTGCTAAGGAAAGCTTATTTTTCTTGAACAAAGAGTGTAATTTTTGTTTTGTTTTTTGTTTTGTTTTGTTTTTGTTTTTTAAAAAACAGTCTTAGCCTACTCTAGCCTAGAACTTGTGATCTTGCTGCTTCAAGATCCCAGGTACTGAGGATTACGTACCACCACACCTACCTTAGAGCTCAGTCTTTCTTTTTATCTCCCCCCACTCACACCCCAGCACCCCCTTTATTTTGAGATGGGCCTCATCCTGTAGGCCTATGGGGTCTGGAACTCACTATGTAGATAAAGTTGGCAGAAATTGCCTCTGCCTTTCGAGTGCTGGGGTTAAAGGTATACACCATAATGTTTCCATCACGTGGTACAGTTTTTGACGTGGTGCTTCCAGCTTTGGCTTGGGCAGAATGAGGCAGCATGGGCTGGCTGTGGGCTGCCACCAAGCGGCAGCTCTGAGAAGTTTCCTCCGCAGATCTTACCAGCATCTCTGAGCGTAGTGCATACTGCGCCATCAACAGAGCCCTCAGAGTGTGCGCCAGACCAGCAAGGGCTCCTTACCCTCCACTGATGAAGATGGACTACAAGAGCGGGGGCTTATGTTAGCCTTGAAGGCCCTAACTGCTCGTTGTGAACTCATACAACACTACTGGTCATGTCACACATCCATGGCATTTATTACTTCACTTAATATGTGCGCTTTTCCTTAGTTTATGATGGACACTTGCAAGATGTGCACGTTCAGTTTTCATCTCCATTTCTTTTCATCTTGTGTAATGTTTTTCTTCTTTCCTTACTCTTACTCTTCACTTAGTTTTGTCTTTTCCCCACGAAACCTATTTGCATAGCAGTATGCAAAACACTCTTTACTTTTGGCTTTTTTTTTTTTTAAACACCATGCTTTTTAGAAGAAACAAATCTGTCTGCTTCTGCCTCTTGAATGCTGGATTAACAGTGTGGGCCACTATCAAAGTACAGGCATTATTCTTTAATAATAAGGCCTGTACTTTGTCTCAGTGTGTCCTGACTTGAAAGTTATGAAGCTAGGTTACATAAAGGCCCTGCCAACAGGAGTTTTCTCTTGAATCTGCTTTGTGTAGGTTTGCCTCAGTGACATGCGGGCGCACATAAGGACATGTGAGAAGTACATCGATAAATATGGCCCACTGCAAGAACTCGGCGAAACCACAGCAAGGTTTGTTTGAAAACAGTAGACTGCCATGCTAAATTCAGTATGTCTAAGCAGCACTTGGAGGCTGGTGCAGGAATTGTGACTCTGAGGCCATCCTGGGCTACAGAGTGAGGTACTCCTACGTGAAGCCCACTCAAAATTGGACATTTCTTTTTGAATAGTGGGTGATTTCAGTACCCAACTCTTATTTTTTTTTTAAGTATTTTTGTGTATGTATCTGTACTTGAGTGTGATTGCTGAGAGCTTGGGGGAAAACCTGTGCTACATAGCAAGAGTCTTGTCTTAAAACAATCAGAAAAGCAAGCCAGGTATGGTGGTGCACAACCATAATCCTGGCACTTAGGACCTAGAAGCAGGAGGACCAAGGCAAGCCTGGGCAACGTAGTGAGACTCTTGTCCCCTCACAAAAAAAGGAAGTAGCCTAGCTATGGTCGTTACAACTGTTTTCTTTTTGAAATTTCTAATTAGATGGCCACTCTAGCTGACCATAATTTTTTTTTCCTGGAACTCACTCTGTAGACCAGGCTAGCCTCGAACTCTCGAACTCAGAAATCCGCCTGCCTCTGCCTCCCAAGTGCTGGGATTAAAGGCTTGTGCCACCACCGCCTGGCTGTACCTGACCATAATTTAAGTGATTGTAATTCTGTGCCATTTCCAGATGTGCATGTCCATTTTGTGAGAGGGAACTGGATGAAGACTGCTTGCTGGATCATTGTATTATCCATCATAGATCCGAACGGAGGCCTGTGGTAATGATTCTCATCTACTGTCTGTCTGTCTACAGCAACTGAATTTAAGATACATTAGAGACTGCATGGCTCAGTGCTTAAGAAGTGTAAAGGACAGATGCTGTAGGTTTGAGGCTAATCTGGGCTAGACAGAATTCCATGCCAGCTTGGGCTACAGAATTAGAATCTGCTCTTCTCCCATTCAGTTCATTAGAAACTCTGCTTACTTTTCTAGCTTTTAAAGCTACTACATTTATTTATCACACAGCTCACATGTGGGGATGAGGGAAGTTTTGGCACAACTGGCGTCTCTCTGAGCTTTTCACCACTCACTCCATGAGAGTCTCTTTAATATTGTGTGTCAGAGTATGATGCTACATGCCTTTGGAAGGCAGAAGCATGTGGACCCTTGTGAGTGTAAGACCAGCCTGGGCTACATGGTGATTTTCAGGCCAAGTAGTTCTACAACAGTGAGACCTTATACCTTTTTCTTTTTTTTTAATCCTTAAGAAAAAGATAGGGCCAGACAGTGGTGACACATGCTGTTAATTCCAGCACTTGGGAGGCAGAGGCAGGTGGATCACTGAGTTTGAAGCTAGCCTGATCTACAGAGCGAGAGTTCCAGGACAGTAAGGGCTACACAGAAAAACCCTGTCTTGATAAACCAGAGGTGGGGAGGAGAGAGGAAAATGATGAAGAGAGAAATGCATGGGATCTAACTGTGTAGCCCTAGCTGACCTCGAAATTTCTTTTTAGACCAGACTGGCCTTGAACTCAGATCTTCCTGGCTATAAATTTTAATATTGAGATACAAAGCCAAGCATAGTAGTAGCCAGCCTTAGCCACAGAAAATTCAAAGCTAGCCTGAGCTACATGAGAAACAAAACAAAATAGTGCTGGGGAAATGTCACTAGAATGCCTGCACACAAGCAGGAAGACTTGAGTTCTGATCCCCAGTGCTCCCTTAAAACCTTCATGTGATCCATCTGTAGCCCCAGGACTAGGAGGACAGAGAGGTAGATTCCTGAAACTTGCTGGCCAGCCAGCTAGCCTAGACTAAATGCTTAGCTTCAGGTTCAATGAGAAGCTCTGGCTCAAAAAATAAATTAGAAGGGGGGGATGAAGAGCTGGGTCAGTGTTTAATTAAGAACACAGAACACTTGCTGCTCTTACAGAGGACCTGAGTTCAGGGCCCAGTACCTATGTGGTACCCTGCAGCAATCTTTATCTCTAGTTTTGGGGTATCTGATGTTCTCTTCTGGGGTCCATGGGACCCAAGCATGGATGTGGCACACATATCATACATGGAGGCAAATACTCATACATGTAACAATAAAATTCAATAAATCATTCTATTTTTTTCATGTCTGCAGTCTTTCTTTTTTTTTTTTTTTTTTCTCGAGACAGGGTTTCTCTGTGTAGCCCTGGCTGTCCTGGAACTCACTCTGTAGACCAGGCTGTCCTCGAACTCAGAGAACCCAGCTGGCATACTTCTATAAAGGACTTTATTTTATTTAGAATGATTTACTGGCCAGGCGGTGGTGGTACACGCCTTTAATCTCAGCACTTGGGAGGCAGAGGCAGTCGGATTCCTGAGTTCGAGGACAGCCTGGTCTACAGAGTGAGTTCCAGGACAGCCAGGGCTACACAGAGAAACCCTGTCTCGAAAAACCAAAAAAAAAAAAAAAAGTATGGCAACTTAAATACATGAAGTGGAAATGAAACATAAAAATAAATTAAAAACACAAGGTGGAGAACAGTTGAGGAGGAGAGTACCTGACGTTGACCTCTGGGCTTCACAGGAACATGCACAGACATGACCCTGTACATATACATAGAAACACATGAACACAAACACCATCATCACACACACCATGAAACTAAACCAACAATGTTGATGTGTGTCCAGTAGATTCATAGATTTACATTCTATGGTGACATCACTTTTTAAAAATCTGGCATTAATAGTTATTTACAACTTGTTCTTGAACTATTTGTCTTTCTTCCCAGTTCTGTCCGATTTGCCGTTCACGACCTAATGAAAGCCCAAGTACCTCCAATGGCAGTTTGATTAGACATTTGCAAGTCAATCACACTTTCTCTTTAGATGATTTTATAGTAAGTATATTTTTTCCCTTTTACATTATATTTTTGTGCTGTCTGTATTAAGCTTACTTTTTATAATCCCCATGAGTAAGATTATACAAGAAAAATTGAGCATGTAGGTGGTGCTAAGTGCTTTGTAAAAGTGACTACTTATTAAAGTAGTCTTCTTTAATCAACTGCGGTGATACACACTTCATCCCAGCACTGGAGAGGCAGAGGCAGATAGAGCTCAGTGAGTTCGAGGCCAGCCTGGTCTACATAGTGAGTACCAGGCCAGCCAGAGCCTCATGATTAAGCTACTGTCTCAACAGACTAAAATAATAAGATGGACTTCCAATAGAGATTTCTTCACCTTTTGTTTTCTTGGAAGTGAGAGCAGATACTTTGTGTTTTACTTATAGAAGGGCTGATATGAAGCCTATATTTCACTTTGAAAAATAAAGTGAAGCATTGCTTACAAGTTCTCGCCATAAATCAAAAATAAAACTGTTAGCATTCTTTTTATGAGTACACTGTTGCTATCTTCTGACACACCAGAAGAGAGAGCTGCATATTCTATTACAGGTTGTTGTGAGCCACCATGTGGTTGCTGGGATTGAACTCAGGAGCTCTGGAGAGCACTAGCTCTCCAGCCCACTGTTAACATTCTGAATCCTAGAGGTGGCCTTATTTTTTTCCCCCAGTGCTAAAGATTAACCACGAGATCTTGCCCATTCTAGGAAAATACTAGTTATTAAACTTTGTCTCCAGAAAAGTAGTAGGAATGTGTAAACTTTATTCCTATATGTGTGAAATACAGATAACATTATGACTAGAATTTCTTTCTTTTACTTTCCATTATTTAATTTTTAAAGATTTATTTATTTATTTATTTATTTCATGTTACTGTCTTCAGACATGCCAGAAGGTGGCATCAGATGCCCACTGCAGATGGTTGTGAGCCACCATGTGGTTGCTGGGAATTGAGCTCAGGACCTCTGGAAGAACAGTCTTAACCACTGAGCCATCTCTCCAGCCCTTTTTTACTTTCTAAATCTTTGGGTTTTAATGTACTTTTTACTTAGATGTGTATGTTGTGGGCAGGCAGAAATGACTATCAGATTCCTTGGTGGTTATATGCTATTGTAGAGTTCATGACCACTGGGAAAAGACCCCCAGACTCAATTCAGATTATAATTAAGCAAATTTATTAAGGCTACAAGTAAGGCCTACAGTCTCTAATCTGACCGTGCAGAAGCAGATGCAAAAAGGGCTTTTAAAGGTGTAAACCACAAGAGCTGTTCTGCTTTGCCAAGATTATATGGTCAAGGAGACCTTGAATGTCTGTGCAAGCAGATTACAGAAGCCAGAATCAGCAGTTAGTCATAGCATAACAAGCAGGTGGTCACAACTGTACATTTCTGGGTGGAGATCAAGGAGCAGGGTTGCCAGGAACTTATCTCTCAGGAACTTCAGTAAGAAACAAGCAACTATTAGGTATCAACATGGATGCCTAGCACAAAATGGAGTTTTTTAGCCATCACAGTGGGTACAAGGAAATGAGGTAGGGTCCCCTGGAAGAACAATATGTGGTCTTAACCACTGAGCCATATTTCCAACCCAGGTGTCTAATTCCCGATAAATTATTCTTTAAGACCTGTTAGCAATAGTTGAGGCCAGTGAAGTCAAACAGGAAACAGTAACCTCAAAGTACATTCTGGATCTATGACAAGTTTCTGGAAAAGATGGACAAGCCTTGTAACAGAGAATTTCCTGAAAAATGAACAATGCATTGTGCTGTTCCTCCTAGTTCTAAAACACTACTGACTTTCTAATCATTTTTCTTTCTGTATTGTAGGATATTCGTATAATTGAGGAAGCCATTATTCACAGAGTGTTAGACCGCTCACTTCTTGAATATGTGAATCAGTCAGACACCACATAATTTTATGAATAGGAATGGGACCATTCACTTGTACCATTTAAGATGCTGCTTGAAGGACTGGAAGAAAACTGTCAATGTTTGATGGAGAAACATGTACTACAGTGTTATACACTTGTCTTTGTTACATTATATTCAAAAACTGTTTTCATTCTGGTTTAGATCTGCCTTTACATTCTTGAGTTTATTAGACATTTAACCACAAGAAACAGCCTCCATCAGCCATTACCAGATGGAAGAGATACAACACAGGCTGGCTATGTGAAGGAGGAGCTTCTTGTGTACATTAGCAATGCTGTGTATAATGCTACATATTCCCAATTATCATGGTTAAACGAGAAAGCCGATCTCTGTTTTATGTAAGGAAACGGAGAAAGGAACAAAATATGGACATTAAAGGAAATCTGAAATTTATTCAAATTTTCATGCTCTAATCTCCAATAAAGATCATGAATAATCTTATGAGAAAGAAAGTAAGGAATGAATTTGAAGTTACCAAAATCCAATTTAACCAAATTACAGTATATAATACTGTAACAAATTCTGTGTTTGAAGTGTATTCTTAGCCAGGCATGGAGGAGCATGCCTGTAATCCAAGTATTCAGGAGGTGAGCATACAAGGGTCAGGAGTGCAAGACCAGCCTTGGCTAATGAGTTGGCTAATGAGACAATAAAAAATTTAAAATTTAAAAAGAAAAAACTATGTGAACTTAACTATTGACACACTATGTTTGCATATATAAATATTTGATAGAAATATTTTTCAAATACTTGTAGCTTATTGGAAATGTTTTATAATGTAAGTGATTTCTAAGACCCGTTTGTGGGTGTTCGTGTTAGCTTTCACATTGATTTTGAGGGAAACTCCTAAGCTTTGTTTTTCATTTTAATATCTTAAGTATAAAATAAGGCACACACACTGCCAGATACAAAATGTATAGCTTAACATGTTATAAGAAACATTGCTCCTGGATGGCTTTGTGTATGTCTAAGGGACTGAGTAGTATTATTGTTCAAAGCCAGCCTAGATTACATAGTTCGTTGCAGGCTTGCCTGGGCTATAGTGTAAGACCCTGTCTCAAACCAAAGAAACAAGCACTATGGACTCAGACATCTATGAATGGACTTCCATCCTTTACGAATGTCACTTTATTGAGGTTCAACTTCAATTCTCTTTGGCCATTCCTTGAAGGTTAGCTGAGTTTTCTTAACACCTTTACTTTCCATGTTGAATGTGTTTCTTTCTATGGACTTGAGATCAGCAACTCAAAGTCTGGTTTCTTTCTGTAGCGAATGGTATGTCAAACCAGTCAGAACCTGGGGATGGTAGCTCATGCCTGTAAGGAGGATCCATTGTTCAGGATCTTAACTAAAATGCAAGGACAGCCTAGGCTGCACAAGACCCTGTCTCCACCTGCTCTTTTTCGTTCCAGACAAAAAGCTCTCAGGACAGTGACTGCTATTGAGGCAGCCATTGTTTCAAGGAGAGAGCCAGGAAACAGCTGTCTGCTTGTTGTAAAGATAAAAAAAATGGCAAGGCTTAGTGGCCGAGGATGTCCAGGGATGGTTGGTAACTAGAGACCTTTGCTTCAGCCTCTGGTGTGTAAGGATACAGGCATATGTTGCCATGCCTGCAATTCCCCTTTTTCAAAGACAATTGGATAGTGTCATCATTTTTTTTTTCTGTTTTTTCTGAGACAGGGTTTCTCTGTGTAGCCCTGGCTATCCTGGAACTCACTCTGTAGACCAGGCTATCCTCGAACTCAGAAATCCGCCTGCCTCTGCCTCCCAAGTGCTGGGATTAAAGGCTAGCGCCACCACCGCCTGGCGTGTCATCATTTTTTGATATGCTCTACTCTATCCCTTTTATCCAACAGTTCAAGTAATGTGCATTTCTTGTCATTTTTTTACATGTGATTCTTTAATGTTACATTCAGGACACTTACTAGGATTTCCATCTTGGAATTAAGAAAAAGTAACAGACTATAGACATCAACTCCTGAGGGTGAAATCTTATTTGACTTAAACATACCTTTTGTAAAGTACAGCTCAGTAGGTAAAGGCCTGCACTGCTGAGTCAGAGTTTGATCCCTATGATCACATTTTGTGAAGGAGAACTAACTCCAACAAGTACAAACATAATGTGTATTCCCCCCCACATACAAATAAGCACAATACAGTTTATATTGTAATACTTTAAGCATCATTTGTTGCACATAAACATTGTCATAGTCATGGTACCATGATTTCCTCCCCCCTTTTTGAGACAGGTTCTCATACATATGCCTGGCTGGTCTAGAACTCTCAGTGTAAGGCAGACTGGCCTTGAACTTCAGGTGATCTTCCTGCTTCTACCTCCTAGTACTGAGACTTAGATGTGGGCACTGGCTTCTAAAATTCCCCTAATGAATTTTCCCTAACTGCTTTGATATTTTCTTCTCGGGACAAGGTTACAGGGCAGCGCTTGCCTTTCCTCACTTATCTTTTTAGGTGCTGTGTCAGGCCCAACTGTTTTTCCTAAGGCCAGTCCTGGAGCACAGTCACATTGTTGCTTTCCATACTGACTTCAAACTTGTTCTTCACCGCTGCTAACAAGTAACAGACTTTGCAACCTGTGTCCCTCCAGTCTGGATGAATGAGACTAAAGTTGTTTTTAGAAGCAATCATCAGGCCTGAAAACACAGCCCAGTTCTGAGCACTGGTGACTACTGCCCTGCCAGTCAGTCTAGGTTAATTTAGAGCAAGATGAAAGTTGTGAGTTTAAAAACTTATTCTGGGGGCTGGAGCAATGGCTCAGTGCTTAAGAGTACTTACTGGCTGTTCTTCCAGAGGACCCAGGTTCAATTCTCAGCACCTACATGGCAGCTCACAACCTGCCAGTAACTACAGTTAAAGGGGATCTAACACTCAGACATGCAGGCAAAACACACCAGTACACATAAAAAACTGACAAAAATAAAAATTTAAAAAATTTAAAAACATTCTGGATAAATGGGATGGCTTAGTAGGTAAAATGCACACTGAGCAAGGCTGGCACCCAAGTTTGTCTGACCCTCAACAAACTGACTCCTAAAGGTTGTCCTTAAACTTGCATATGCACTGTGGCATGCCCGCGTCTGAGTTCACATCAGCACACAGTAAGAGTCAGTGGGAGCGGGACTGGAGAGAGTCAGCAGTTAGGGTTAGCCTGCATGTAGGGCAGCTTGCTCCTACAGCTCTCTTTTGGCCTCCACTGGTACTTGGGAACACAGGTGATGCACACAAATATTTAAAAATAATAAAAAAAAATTGAAACCCAACAACTGCATTCTAAATCAGTGGTGGCGACTAAAGCCTGTAATTCCAGCACTTGGGAGGTAGAGGCACAATGGTCAGGAGGAGCTTAAGGCCAGCCTCAGCTGCATAGCAAGTTTAGGGCTGGCCTGGGTTTACATGTGACTGTCTCAAAACACCAAAACCCATGTGCTGAGTACTAAGTTCAAGTGTGTGGACAGACTCAGAATCTTATCCAAGGCTTTTTTTGTTTGTTTTTTAATTTTGCCAAGTATAGGATAAATTCGGTGCTGGCCACCTGGGTTATTTTATATTCTGAATTTCTGTGTTTTGAAAATAAGATGATATAATTTCACTGTGTTATCCTCTTATAAAAAGGTGTTTAACGCATTGCTTTAAAAAGTAAAAACCAGTATTCAAAGTTGATCATCATTAAAAAACCTTTCATGTGCTTTTTGTAAATCCTGCCTAATGAAACAACTTGACCGGGGGAGAAAATGATGCTGTGTTATTTTAAAACTAAGTTCTCCTAAACTGTTGGTGGAAAACTGATTTGATTGTTGATTGTGAATGAGTGGTAAGGAGTTAGGGCTCTTGAGAACCCCTGACTTTGGTAAAATCGGTTCCTGCTGTTACTGGGTATCAGGTGTGTTTCATTTCAAAGTGAGCCTGCTCCAGTTTTTGAATGTTTATTGTATAATAATTTGTATACTTACACATAGAAGGTATTTTTTTTAAGCACTAAGAGATTGATTCTTTTGTTGTTGAAATGTAAAAATCTTCTGATCAGAGTTTAAAGTGTATAATTCTTTTGAAAACTATTCTGAGGAATAAAGAATGGCAGGACCATTACTTTCATTAAAATATCCACTGTGTCTAACTTGGTGTTTTGTTTTTGTATTACTGGGTATCGAACCTGCGACCTCTCACATGCTGGTCAAGCATTCTAGGGCCAAGCTGCATCTGTACGTAGTCTGCTTCCTTTTTAACAGACCTAAGATAGTTGCCTAGGCTGCCCTCGAACTCAAGTAGCTGGGACTGATTATAGGCATGAGTCACTATACACAGTTTTTATTGCTTTGAGACAGGTTTTCATCATGTAGCACTACTGGCCTGGATTTTGCTTATATAGCCCAGGCTGGTCTTGAACTTGTGATCCTTCTTTCTCTGCCCTGCAAAGTGCTGTGACTGTAGCCATGTACTACTATTCCTGACTACGTAGGTTAGGAGAAGTCCCTCCCTGATTCCTTGCAGTGTTAGGGAATGAACCCAAGACGTGTGCATGCCTCCAGTTTACCTTTTCAGGTGTAGTGGAGCCCCTTGGTAACAGTCAACAGTAACACCATGGTGCTCAGAAGTCTTCTACTCTGTGTTATGCATATTTTCAGTGTTAGTGATGAGGGGCTATTTTCTTTCCTTTTTTGTTTTTTGTGGGTTTTTTTTTTTTTTGGTTTTTCGAGGCAGGGTTTCTCAGAGGGGCTATTTTCTATTTTCTACAGTGTAGAATATTGACTATATTTAGTTGCCCTGTAGATTCCAAGCCAATAGCATGCTCTTCCCAGGTAGGACAACCAACCATCTCACTAGATAAGGACAACATCTGCTGGGATATAGATTCTTTAGTTGAGAACTATTAAACTAAATGAAAATTACTTCTGTGATAAATGTAGGTTCAATCCTTACCATCAAATAAAAATAGGTGTGGTTACTCTTCCCTGTAATCTCAGCACTGAGGAGGTATAAGCTAGGGGACCAGATGTTCAAGGTTATCGGCTACATAGTGATTTGAGGTCAGCTTGACCCACAAAATATACTCTGGATCTTATATGTCAGAAAACACACATTAAGAAAGGTTTTTACATAATTTTATGTGTATGTGTGTCCTGAATGTATGCACACATACCACATGCATAGAGGAGCCCTTGGGTTGCAAGAGATGTCGGGTCTCCTGGAACTGGAGATATATAGTTGTAAACTACCATGTGGGTGCTGAGAATTGAACCCAGGCGCTCTCCAAGAACACCCAGTACTTTTAACCAACAAGCCATCTTTCAAGCCAGAAAATAACACATCTTGGGTTTTTGTTGTCGTTTTGTTTATGCATAGAATCTTAATAAGTCGCTCTGACTGCCCCATGAGTCAGAATCTGCCTGCCTTTGCCTCCTGAGAACAGGGATTAATGGTCTGTGCAACGATACCTGGATAAAATAATAATTTTTTAAAAGAACATCTTTCATTTGAGAATGATTCCCAAGTTTGAGTAAAATTAATTAAAAATTACCATGGCAAAAATGTATATCAGAGCCAGGTTTGGTGGCCCATGCCTGTGGGGAAAAAATAGAGGGCTGCAGCAGTGGAGTCCTGGAGGCTTCCACACTGCTGCGGGTCCCACATGTAGGAGGAACATCTTATGTTCCAGCGGCCTGGAGGCTTTGGCAGCGGCCAGCCCCAATGACACAAGGAAGTCTTTGGTTCCAAAAGGTTTATTGTCATGGCGGATGGTGGATGGATCTGGGTATACCCCCGTAAAACTCAGGGCAGTCCTGGGTTATATAGGGAGGGAGAAAGAGGGAGGATCGGGTGAGGATCTGGGGAGACAAGCTTAATTTCTCCACCCTCTGGCCTTCTTTAGCATGTAAATCCCTAAGGCCTGAGGCCTATAGTCACGCCCTATACCTGTGCTTTGGGAGGGCTGTAATGGCCTACGTGACTGAACAATGTAGTTCTATGGAGACTAGACTGCTTTTCGAGACCCTAGGTTCTGGGGGTGCACCAAACTCCTGCTGGTCCTCATGTAGTCTCGGGGTTCTAGGCACATGCCCAGCCATGAATCAGAATACCCTTATGCAGTCCCACACATGCCTCTAATCCTAGCATCTGAGAGGCTGAAGCAGATAGCGTTTTGAGCTAAAGAGCTGAGACAGCATCTCCTGTGCCCAGCCTGACCTCACACTTGACATATAGCTAAAAACCAACCTGGACCTCCATCATCGCCTGCTGGGATCACCAGTACCTACCTACCACAGCATCTGTCTCCTTTTCTCACTTGTTTTTGCTTTTGAGACAATCTTTCTATATAGTCCTGACTGTTCTAGAACTCACTGGGTAGACAGGATGACTTCAAACTCATGGAGATCAGCCTCTGGAGTGCTGGGATTAGAGTGTATATTGCCAAGCTCAGCTTCCTCCCAACTGCTTATCCCTCCCCATCCCTTTTTACACAGAGCCTCACTTTACAGTCTAGGCTAACATTAAACTTGTTATTTAACCCACACTGGCCAGAGAGAGAGAGAGAGAGAGAGAGAGAGAGAGAGAGAGAGAGAGAGAGA